GGATAATGAATGGAAGACATTTATGAAACCGCCATTCCTTATGTGATACAAATGCTGCTGGAGTGCCACTCTAAACCTCATCCAATGAGTAAAAAAATATTTTCTTTCAACCCTCCTTTCAACTTTGAGAAAAGGAAGAAAATCACACGGAGCCATATCTAGACTGTATTGTGCATATGGTAGCTGCTAAAGGTCAATAATAGTGAAAATATCTTGTAGTATTCTTTGTTCCACTTTGATTTCTTTCATGATCTGCATTTCAGCAGCCATTTTGGAGCAAAAATGATACCAGAATGAGGGTTGCTTGTCTGATGTCACTTTCTTAGAACTTGACATATATGATCATTGTCATATGACGTGACATTATAATGAAAACACAATTAATTGGTTGCCTAATAAGAAAGGAAGTAAACTAACATGGTTTAACATTCACAATTCAAAGAAAGACAGTGGTCAAGACTTGCGAAACAAGTCAAATGTCAGCAACATTTAAGGCTGAACGTTTTCATGTGTGAATACCGTTCCGGGTGGCAGGGTCCCCATCTTAAAAACTTTCTAGAAAACTACATAAAACATATCATTTCTCCATGAAATTAATACACAAAGTAGTTAGGTTGTTGGTCTTTATTATTGGAAAGTTTAAAGTGATTTTATCAAAAACCAACAAAATAAGAGCAGGGCGTCCAAGACTTTTGGATCACCCCTCTTACAGAGTGTCCCAAAGTATACCCCCCCCCCTAGGCAGACATATACCAATTTCTCCATAGTATGTGTCATATATAATACTTTCGGGACACCCTGTAGCATAAATTTTGAAAGTCATCTTATATTAGCTAGTATAATATAGATCTCTCCATGAACTCCTTAAGATTATTAAAATTCATAAAAGTGCAACTAAACATAACGTAACATACTGACGCCGAGTGGTCAAAGAGGTCGGAAGATAACACGCCATGATCACATTAATCACCATATTAACACTTTCATAAAATGAAATAGTATTCAACGAAAAAATCACTTTTACCTGTTTATCTGTAATAGGGATACAGGAGCATGTTCGTTGAACATCACTTGTTACGCATAAAACCCTGATGCATTTTGAAATTAAATCATTGCAATGTTTAATATTATAACTCATGAATTACAATTACAGGGACAACATACACTGTGAGTTGACAACGTACATTTCTGATTTTTTAAATTATACCAAATGCATGAATATTTATTAAATCTTCACCCGTCTTAAACTGTGTAGTTTAGAGAAACACATTCTCATAAAAATATTCGACACTCTGAGACGTCAGGGGAGAAAATTATCAAAGGGAATGTGTAAAAACAACATTTTTCCAAACGAACAATTGTATGGGTAGACTTACAATGAAAAAAATCTAGCACTGCTCGAAGATCTTTTAAGGTAATTAGAAAAATAAATGTCTTTGAAATCGAATACACGCAAAATCAAACATGAAATCCTTTATGTATTCCTCAAATTTATTTTTGAAAACCTGCATCAAACCTACATCATAGTCCTTGCTTAAAATCAATTAATAGTGACATAGTACATCAAAAGTGTACTACGGTATATTTTGTCACTGTCACGTGACTGTACCTTGTCGATGGTTAGGGGTGATATAGGAAACATGTTTCTAAATGTTTACTGCATATGTACTTCAATAAGAAAATGCTTTAATTTATCATTTTATGATGAATACCATTTACATGTATATATGCCTTTATGATGTGCTTTTTTCATTCCATCATATACACCATAGCCATTATATGCATTGTATTATAAAGTATGATTTGCCATGTTAAAACATATTTTGACTTTAAAACGAAACTATGATTTTATGATTCATTACTAGTCTCAAAACAACACATTCATTATGGAGCATATGTTTAGAGTGATTGCAGGCTGTCCAATTGTCCCGCAATTTGTGTATTTGTCAGGCATTTGCTGTAGTCACGCAGCTTTTTACCTGATACATTGCAAGCAAAAATATTTCTGTAGAAGAAAAATGAACACATTTTCTTCAGAAATTTCACGGGAATTCCATATATGTCAAGCATTTTTGTACCTACCCCCCCCCCTCTATCATTCATTCTCAAGTAAGAAAATTGAGTGCAAGAAGACGCCATTGGAGATGTGAAAACCAAACAATTTTTGTGATATATCAGCTCTCTGCATTTTGCAGCTAGGCAGCCAAGTGGGCTCTTGTATTATTTTTGTAGGGGTGGAAGGATCCTTTCATTCCGTACACAGAGAAAACAGAAATTGATAAAAATTTATTGAGTGGAATGTGAGTAGAATAACTTGCCAGATATGAACATTATATTATTTGAAGCGATTTTAGAAAATTTTGAAACCGCCATTTTGAGAATGTGTAGTAATAGTGATAATCGATCTTGACATATTACAGTTTGTTGCTTCGCAGAAATTTTTGCCCAAAACACATTAAATGCAACATTAACTAGAAAAACAGCTCCACGAAACTCCACGAAGTAGCAAATCCCACCGAACAAAACATGTTTTGATAAATAGCGGCCATATAAAATGAGCCAAATCCATCTACTGGTATTTGAATTATCAAAGATTATGTTTTTATGAAACATGGGTGCCATTTTGAAATTCAGCTGTTATCTTTAGATTTCTTCTTTAGCAGAGCTCCTATGTCCCAAGGCATCACCATATACAATTTAATCCAAATCCGCCAACTGGTACTTGAGTTATAAAAGATTACATGTTTAATGAAAAATGGTGGAGATTTAGATAAATAGCAGCCACGTACCTTGAAAATTTCTTCTCAAGCAGAGCTCCGGGTAACCGGGTGATCGGGTACCTAACGTTCCTAGCAGGGTTACAAATTCTTACATAACTTACAGGATTGGTCAAATAACGTCCATATTTCGATATTACCCATTATCATGGCCGTAAATCGAACAAAATAAGAGGAGGAGATTTCTACTAGAAATTAAACAAATGTGAAAGAGTATGCACACGCATAAATTGAAACATTAATTGCCGTTTATCTGTCATTTAACGTAAGATGACGTTAGTTTTATATGCTTTATTACCTACGAGTGAGTGATTGACAGGATGTTGATGATTGTTTCCTATGATGGTGATTTATACTAGATATTAAACATCTCGAAGATATACGCACATATCTTGAAATGTTTTTTTTATCTGTCAATTAACGTACGATGTACGACTTATGACGTTGGTTGCTTGTTTTATTGCCTGAGTGATTGACAGGGTGATGATTATTTGTTTAGCTGGTTGGTTGGTTTATTGGTAGATAAGTTTGTTGCTTGGTTATTTGGTCGTTTGCTTGATTGGTTGGATGGCTTGTCCGTTGAGTTGGAGGCCAGCTGGGTGGTTGGTTGCTTGGATTTTGAAGTGGCACGTTTTAGGCCATTCTATGAAAAAAATCAAATTCCCAACCCTGCTAGGATTGTTAGGTACCTGGTCACCCAGTTACACGGTCACCCAGTTTTTTACACAAACCCTCCTTTATCTCTAGGCATCAGTATATAAAATTTGAAGTAAATCCGTCCGATGGTATTTGAGTCAAATATTACCTTTTTAATGAAAAATGCCAGCCATTTTGAAATTCAGCTGACGCCTTTGAAATTTCTTCTGAAGCAGATCTCCTTTTTCCCTAAACATCAGCATATAAAATTGGAACCAAATCCATCCACTAGTGTTTGAGTTATCAATGTGTACGTTTTTTACGGTGGCCATTTTGAAATTCAGTGGCCAGTAAATGTCTTCCTGAGCAGAACTTATTTGTCTTTAGGCATCAGCATATAAAATTTGAACAAAATCCATCAACTGGTATTTGAGTTATCAAAGGTTACATTCTTTTATGAAAAATGGTGGCCAATTTGATATTTAGCTGCCATCTTAAAAATCCCTTCTCGAGCAGAGCTCCTATGTCCCTAGGCATCAGCATGTAAAATTTGAACCAAATCCATTCAATGGTATTTGAGTTATCAAAGATAACGTTTTTTTACGAAAAATGGCCACCATTTCGAAATATGGTGGCCATCTTGAAAATGTCTTCTTGAGCAAGGCTCCTTTGTACCCAGGCAACAGCATATAAAATTTGAACCAAATCCATCCACTAGTATTTGAGTTATCAAAGATTATGTTTTTTCCACAAATGGTCGCCATTTTGAATTTAGTGGCCATATTGAAAATTCCTTCTCGAGCAGAGGTCCTACACACATAAGGCATGAGCCTATTTGATTTGAGTTATCAAAGATAACGTTTTTTTACAAAAAATGGTGGTCATTTTGAAATATGGTGGCCATCTTGAACCAAATCCATCCACTAGTATTTGAGTTATCAAAGATTATATTTTTTCTAAAAAATGGCCACCATTTTGAATTTAGCGGCCATATTGAAAATTCTTTCTCGAGCTGAGGTCCTACACCCATAAGGCATAAGCCTATAAAATTTGAATGAAATCCGTCAACCAGTATTTGAGCTATTGCCCAGACACAAGAACTGACGGACAGACGAATTGACAGACGGACAGAGGAACGGACGAACAAACAGCTTTTCTCCGTTCGGTGGGATAATTACCAATTTCTATGATAAAATAACTTGTAAACTTTATCACTTATGTTGTATTAAAGATTCAGTGTTGTTTATTCAATATTACAGACTGAACTAATTTCTCCAGGTTTTTGAGATCGTGCCCCAGGAATTGTAGAATTGATTTAACATCGTTAGAGACTATTTAAATATTTCATGTTCATGAAGAACACTTTGACATTTATGGTGAACGGAGATCAATATGTTGATCAATCACTCCCTGAACAAATAAAAAAACAATGCTAGACTTCTCAGAATTCAAATCACATGATATTTTAGCTTATACAATTTAAAATACATAAAACACAGGGATGAAAGCACCACTTTGAGCACATTGTAGGGATCAATCGAGACCACTATATGTATGCATTATGTGAGGAGACGGCAACAGATCCATTGACATTAGAATAAAAGAAGTGAACCATATTTAAACTTATTTATGTTCAAGGAGAACACTTTGACACTTTATGTGATGAATAGAGGTCCATGTGATGAATCACTCACTGGATAAATAAAAGAATAATGCTTGGCTTCTCAGAAATCAAATCACGCCATATTTGACCTAATACTGTATAAAAGACTAACATGGGTATAAAAGCAACACTCTCAGCACATTGTAGGCTCAATCAAGTACACTATATGTATGCATTATGTGAGGAGATGGCAACAGATCCAAGGACACTAGAATTCAGTCTTGTCACACACAAAAAGGGAATTAAATTGATCCCTCAACATGTCTGACACTTGGACATTTATGGTGAATGGGATCGATCCCTGTTATGATGAATCAATCCCCGGACAAATAAAACAACAATGCACGACTTCTCAGAATTCAAATCACGTGATATTTGACCTTAATATATAATATAAAAGACTAAACACAGGGATAAAAGCCCCACTTCCAGGGCTCCATCGAGATGGCAATAGATCCAAGGACATTAGAATTCAGTCTTGTCATACACAAAGTAGGGAGATTCTAATGATTCCCTCAACATGTCTGAGTGTGTATCATGTAAGAAGACAATACCAAATCTGAGGACATTAGAATGCAATCATGTCACACACAAAGTAGGGAGATTCTAATGATCCCTTCAACATGTCTGAGTGTGTATCATGTAAGAAGACAATACCAAATCTGAGGACATTAGAATGCAATCATGTCATACACAAAGTAGGGAGATTCTAATAATCCCTTCAACATGTCTGAGTGTGTATCATGTAAGAAGACAATACCAAATCTGAGGACATTAGAATGCAATGATGTCACACACAAAGTAGGGAGATTCTAATGATCCTTTCAACATGTCTGAGTGTGTATCATGTAAGAAGACAATAACAGATCTGAGGACATTAGAATGCAATCATAAATGCTGCTCAAACTGTTTAGAGACCCTCAAAGAAGAAAACTCTCCATTTGTTATCTGCCCGTTATGTAAAAAGGAATGTCTGCTGCTAAAGGGGGCAGGAAGGAAGCTCAAGGTGAGTACAATATACACAGGCAAATTACATCGGACCTTGTACAAGCCAGCACAGAGCTCGTAATAGCTCGTAATTTTCAACCCCCGTACTTAACCGTACGGTGCCTGTAATGAGCCACAAAATAAATCGTAATTTTCAATCCCCGTACTTGCTCCTACGGTGCCTATTACGAGAACCATAATAGCTAGTAATTTTCAAGCCTTGTACTTGCCTGTGCAATGGCTGTAACAAGGCCCGTAATGGCTCAACACATTTTCGAGCACTGTGCTTGCCCGTAAGGGCTCGTAACGAGGCTCGTAATTGCTCATTTATTTTGATGAACATCTTTTGATCGATGAAATAAAATACATAATAATACATAAAGACATAATTAATATGTCTTCAATAATTTCAAAATATTCGCATGTCTGTATCAACATGATAAACAGTATAAAAGCTAGGAAACAAAATGAACAGGGGGTTTACCAAAAGGAGACACCATATTTCTCTACAAGTGAAGTAAATGCATATAAAAACATTTGCGTGCATTACGAGAATAAGTAGAATGATGATATGGGGAAAAACGTGAATCTTGTAACTGACTATTATAAATTTTTTGTTCGGAGTTCGAGAACAGGCCTCGTACGAGCTCGTACGGGCCTCGAAATTACGAGCCTCGTACATGCTCCTACAGGCCCCGAAAACAACAATTACGAGCATTGTATGAGCTTGCACCTGCCCCGAAAACGAGCTTTGTACGAGCCCGTACAAGGATGGTGCTCCTTTTAGCCCATTATGACTCGTAATTCTCGAGGCTCGTACGAGCTTGTACAGGGCCCAATGTGATTTGCCTGTGTATAAACTTATCATATTTGTATCACAATTAATCTTCTTACAGAAATTTCTTTGTACTTATTTAGGGTATATACCCTAAAGTTTTTTCATTTTCCTCATTTGTCACATTTAATTGTAACTATTACCATTTATTCACATTTAATTACCTCATAAATAAAAATAAGGTTTGTTCCAATATAGTATATATTCTGAAGTCATTTTTTGACACTTATTGATTATTCAAATCTAACAAAATAAAATATGGCAATACTCCTATAATTTAGTACAAAAAAATGTAATAAATAAACATGAAGGACATTCCAAATGTATGACCCCTTTCCCAAGCTTATATGCAAACATTTCAGACAAGCATTTTCTTAAAAACCACCAAACGTAACATTATGAGGTAAATATGATAAAAAAGGGTTTAAGTCTGGGATTTTAAATGTGTCCTAGATTAAAACCAGAACAACGGCAACGCCAAAGCGTAGCGAATCCCATCGAACATTTTTCAAAACAGGCGCCATGCTTATAATATTCACATACCAAATATGAACAAAATCGCTCCACTACTTTTCGAGTTATAGTAAAAAACGTTAAAATGGCCGCCATTTTGAAAAATGGCCGCCTTCTACCAAAAGTGTCATTAAACAGTGTGCCATGCTGATACGTATTCACGTACAAAAATATGAACAAAATCGCTCCACTACTTTTCGAATTATAGTAAAATAAGTTAAAATGGCAGCCATTTTTCAAAATGTCCGCCATTTTTCAAAATGGCCGCCTTCTACCAAAAGTGTCATTAGACAGTGTGCCATGCTTACAGTATTCACATACCGAATATGAACAAAATCGCTCCACTACTTTTCGAGTTATAGTAAAATACGTTAAAATGGCGGCCATTTTGAAAAATGATCGCCCTCTACCAAAAGTGTCATTAGACAGTGTGCCATGCTTATACGTATTCACATACCAAATATGAACAAAATCGCTCCACTACTTTTCGAGTTTTAGTAAAATAAGTTAAAATGGCGGCCATTTTTCAAAATGTCCACCATTTTTCAAAATGGCCGCCTTCTACCAAAAGTGTCATTAGACAGTGTGCCATGCCTATAGTATTCACATACCAAATATGAACAAAATCGCTCCACTACTTTTCGAGTTACAGCAAAAATCGTAAAATAACGAGTAAAGGCCGCCATTTTTCAAGATGGCTGCCATGTGCTTTTTTAATATCTACATTTCTAGCTTTATTAATGTCCTATATAATTTTTTTACATTTAAAACATATTGCTATTACAGTTTTACATATTGCACCTAAATTACTGTAAAATCGGCACTAAAATGGCCGCCATTTTTAAATGAGCGGCCATTTTGAAAATCGGCTTTCGAGCAGAACTTCTACCCCCATAGGGTATATGTGTACAAAATATGAATAAAATCGGGCCAACGGTATTTGAGTTATTGCCCGGACGGACGGACGGACGGACGTACGTACGGACGGACAGACGTACGTACGGACGGACGGACGGACGGACGGATGTACGTACGTACGGACGGACGTACGTACGTACGGACGGACGTACGTACGTACGTACGGACGGACGGACGGAGGCGTTCCCTATATCCCTCCGAACTTCGTTCGATGGGATAAATATCATCATGTTATATTTTCTTTAAAAGAGATTAGATGATGAAGTATCGCAATTACTTGAAACTGTTCAACAACAAGTGGAACAAGATGAAAAGAATATCCAGGCAGAGAGAAAAAGAGCAGACGAAGAAAGAAAACGGGCAGAAGAAGAACACAAGAGGGCAGAAGAAGAATGTAAGAGGGCAGAAGAACAAAGCAAGAGGGCACAGGAGGATGTAGGAACCATTTCTGTTATCTCCATACACTAAACTTGTCCATTTAGTCAAATTAAACAAAATACAGGGTGTTCAAAAAAATGCAACCCAAAGGAATCGCTATATCTTGAAAAATACTAGTTCAATTATGTTCATATTTTCAGGAAAGAAAGAAGAGATTGTGTATGTATAGCTCCTGTAGATGGTTAGTTGTAAAACATGATGCCTCGGACGCTTGCTCAAAAGACAGTTGTACTAGGAAATACGAAAAATGCAGTCAGGGTGACTGCAACCGCAGAAAAATTTAATAACTTCCTAACCTTGGTGTTTTGGCTCTTCAAATTTGGCACAAATCATCTTCATTCACTGTATGGTAAATCTGTGGAGTGAAATCAAAATCACTTTAGGGACTTTACAGTCATGGTCGAAATGCTTTCAAATCGCAGTCAAACGCCCTGGTTCAGGCAGACTTAAGAAGGCATTTTGACCATGACTGTAAAGTCCCTGGAGTGAGTTTGATAAAACTCCACAAATTCACCACACATTGAATGAGGATAATCTGTGCCAAATCTGAAGTGCCAAAACACTATGGTTAGAAAGTTATTAGGTTTTATTGGTGTGGCAATCACCTATGACTGCGTTTTTCGTATTTTCACGGTACAACTTTCTTTTGACCAGGTATCCAAGGCATCATGTTTTACAACTTACTAACAACAGGAGCTATACACACACAGTCTCTTCTTTCTTTTCCTGAAAAAATGAACATAATTGAATTAGTATTTTCCAAGATATAGTGATTTTCCATTCGCGTTTTTCATATTTTCCTAGTACAAATGTCTTTTGAGGAAGTGTCCAAGACATCATGTTTTACAACTAACTAACAACAAGAGCTATACATACACAGTCTCTTCCTGAAAATATTAACACAATTGGATTAGTATTTTCCAAGATATAGCGATTTCTTCGGGTTGCATTTTTTGAACACCCTGTATCTTTGTTGTTACCTATAAAATCCAAGTATGGTATAAAATAATTATAAATTGCAAATGAATTGTCTCTGTCCCACTTATGAATTTGTGATTGATGAACAAGTAAATCTGAGTTGAGAATTAACTTATAACTATAACTGTGTATTCATGAATCAGTTCAAGAGACCCTACCCATTTTATTTGATTGAATGTTTATATTTTCTTCCAAAACAAATTGAAGAATTTAATATGAGGTGAGTCACTTAACTCTGTTGTGACCATATAAGGCACTTTTAGTACTATTTTTAATAATGACTCAATCAGTTTTAACAATATCTTACTTTTTAAACACTACTTTTTAAAGCAAATTATACTAAAGATAAAAACCTACTTGTTACCTGATTGATTAACACTTAATAAATCATTATGCGATTTCATATATCAATCAACTGATATGCTATCATTTTTAGACCTCATCTTGAATTATGTTGCATCAATACTACACATCACTTTTATCTCTTATATATAGTATATATAAACAAGCAGGCCCGTAGCCAGGGGGGGGGGGGATCCAGGGGCGAGCCAGATATCTCCTAAACATCGTGGATCTACCTTTTTTGCTTTCTTGAAGTATTTTCTTTATATTTCAAGGTAGATGGTATAATTTGGTAACATATGCACAGTGCATTTTGATGTGATATTGCCAATTTTTTTACAAACATTCCAAATTGATTAGAATCGTCTATATAAGCTATAAAATAGGGAACTAGTACTGCGTTTTTGAACTGCCAGTGGCGCAAGTATATTGCACAATATTTAGTTTTCCCCATAGGTATCATGAAACACATGAAAAAGAACAATGAAACCCTGCGTTGCAAATTACATGCTCACACATTTTCAACAAAAACGATGCATTCAAGCGCACTTACTCCGCAAATTACGATGTGTATTTGCACTGCAGGGCTCATTGTTCTTTTTAGTGATACCTGGGGCGAAAACTCATAAAAATATTATGCAATTCACTTGCATCGCGGGCATACAAAAATATGGTCTAAATAATAAATTTGTTGTATTAAAATTTAAAGTTCATTTTTATCGACAGTAGGGGGTTAAGGTCAGGGTGCACTTTGATGAAATTTTATGAACATGTAATTTTCAGATAGACATGTAACTCGATCCACACATCATCTACATATTTCATTCTTGCACAAAAGATGGATTAGTGTACCTTAAGACTATTAATTGAGGGTTGATAATTCTTCAGAATGTTTGAATAACTAGAATATTCAGTGGTTTACTTTTCAAAATTGCAAAAAATTCTAAAGTGCACTCTGGCCATAAAGCCACCCCTGAAAAAATTTGGGCCCAAAAAATGATTCAAACTAAAAAATGGGGGTAGCTATATACAAGCAGAATACACAGCAACATACTATTCAGAGTCAAGACCAAAGTGTAAATTAAAATTAATCATATATTTTGTTTCTTGAAACCCTCAGAATGTGCCAAATGGGCCCAAAAACTCAAATTTTTAAAAAGATAAATCATTCATTTTGATCCTAGAATCGCTCAGAATGCGCTAAATCAGCCCAAATATCCCTTTCCGGGGTCCATAGTCAAGACCAAAGTGTAAATTGAAATAAATCACTTATTTTGATTCTTGGAATGCTCAGAACGCACCAAATAAGCCCAGAAACTCAAATATTTAAAAAAAATCAAACATACATTTTGATCCTACAATCGCTCAGAATGCACTTAATCAGTCCAAAAACCAGTCGGGGTTCGAGCCTCCCTTATCAAAAGCTGGCTACAGGCACAACATATCTTTATATCTTTTTCTTGTTTTTGTAACTAAGCCAGGTATATCTTATATAAAAATGTATTGATGCATTTAATAAGCTTATCCGACAAAATGACACTTTTCATAATATATCTAATTTTCAGAGCATTTCCATTTACACTAAAATGTACCCAAGCACCCATTATATCATCAGATTTGGTATACAAATTCTACAAGTTTTTTTTAGTAAAATACCTTTTCCTGTGAATCAGGCACAAAAGTGCTGAATCAGCATATGAAGACGTGAAGTTATACTGGATGAGCGTGGTGTAAAAGTGGTTTTGAAAAGTAGCAAATTTCTCTTCATATAGGTTATTTGTGTCTCATTATTATACATTGATTCTGAAATCACTGGTGTCTAGTTTTTCAGCATTTTGGAAATATCCAGATTTATACCCCCTGGTGTATTTTTAAGGGGGGTACTTGGAAAGCCATATATCATTCCTAGAATAGAGAGCCAATCATCTTGATTTTTCCAGGTAATCATGTACTTATCATGTCCTACCATTATGACAAGTTTCATTAAAGTTGATCAACTGGTTGCTATGAAAATGGAGATCATATGTTAAAAAGTACACATTTTCGTCAAAATGTAAGATACCCCATGAGACAAAACACATATTATTTTCATGAAATTGGAAGGAATCACCATGAAACCATTTTAGAAAACTTATTCAAAGTATATTTGATAATATTAAATCAACTGCTGTTTCATCTTATCCACACAGTGGAATCTATTGCTGATGATATATGGAAATGCAAGTAAATTTAGAAAGGGGATGTGGCACTTTTCCAAAGAATTCTTTATTTGTGTTCAACTTTTTGAAGAAAATAAGTAACCATTTGTCCTGAAATTAACAGATATTATTCACATCATTATGTTTGACTATCATGGAAAATTTCATCAGTGTTGGATTACTGGTTACTATGGTAAACAGATTTATACCCCATTGGTATAGGGGGGTACAATGAAAGCCATCTATAATTCCTAGAATATACAGCCATTCATCTTGATATTTACAGGTAATCATCTACTTATAATGCACTACCACTATGACAAGTTTCATTAATGATTAACACTTGGTAGCTATGGTAACAGAAATAATTTATTAAAAAATACACATTAAGGAGATATTATGTATAATTTCTAGAATAATCAATTAATGATCTTGATATTTATGGGTAATCATCTGCTTATCATGTCTTACCAGTATGACAAGTGCCATCAATGTTGGTAAATTGGTTGCTATGGTAACAGAAATCATTTCTTAAAAATTGCTTATCAAGGGGGTACTATGTATTATTCCCAGAATATTTAATCAATCATCTTGATATTTACAGGTAATCATCTGCTTATCATGTCCTACCAGTATGACAAGTGACATCAATGTTGGTCAATTGGTTGCTCTGGTAACAGAAATAATTTGTTAAAAAGTGCACATTAAGGGGGTACTATGAAAGCCATGTATAATTCCTAGAATATTCAATCAATCATCTTGATATTTACGGGTAATCATCCGTTTACATGTCCTACCAGTATAACAAGTGCCTTCAATGTTGGTAATTTGGTTGCTATGGTAACAGAAATCATTTGTTAAAAGAGTACACATTTTCGTAAAAATCTAAGACTCATGCAACCTTTGACATTAAGCACATAATATGTTCATCATTTTGGGAGAAATAAGCATGGAAACATTTCATAAAACTTATTACATCTCATCAATCATAACAGTGGACGCTTTATTGCCATCACTGGTCATCAACGGACATGTTTTACACTCAGAGTAATGCATGCTGTTGTTCTCAACTTTTTTATGTCTGCTGGTTTTTTTCAACTGTTTATTGTTTTTAGAATTCATTAAGAAGCATTTCCAGTATTTTTAATTGGGTGTAATAGTTGTATATATCTCTTAGTTTGTTTATTACAAGTGACGTGGTAACTTGTTGATGGCAAAATAGAGCCAAATTGGCCAGACCAACCCATTCCACCTGATGATCTCATAGACATATAGTCACATAAAGATTGCAACGGATGCTTTGACAGAAGTAGACATTGAAAGATATATGAATGAGGATTTTGATGCAAGTGATATAAAAGATGACTAAGTGAGATCAGCTCATAATTTACTATGTCCCTACGCATAATATGACAGCCGCATTCTACATAGTTTTATTATCATAAGCAAATACAATACATCAAATGGCCCAGATGAAATATCCATTGATTAAATATTATCAGACATACTCAAAATAGGTTTTTTAAAATGTTTTCATGCTAATTCCTCCCAAATTGATGAAGATTTTCAATGTCTTAGGGTGTGTCTTAAAATTTTACGAAATGTGTACTTTTTTAATAAATAGATTTCTACCCAAATTTGACCCACATTGATGAAACTTGTCATCATTGCAGGACATGATAAGTAGTAGATTGTCTGTAAATATCATAATGATTGTTTTGATATTTAAGGAATTATAAATGGCTTTCATAGTACGCCCTAATGTGTAATTTTTAAGAAATGATTTCTGTTACCATAGCAACCATTTGCCCCGCATTTATGAACTTTGTCATATTGGAAGAACATGGTGAGTAGATAACTACCTGTCAATAACAAGATGATTGGTTAGATATTCTAGGAATTATATATGGCTTTCATAGTACCTCCCTTAATGTGTACTTTTGAAAAAATGATTTATGTTTCCATAGCAACCAATAGGTACACATTTATGAAAATTGTCATGGTTGTAAGACATGATATGTAGACTATTACCTGTAAATATCAAGATGATTGGCTGTATATTCTAGGAATTATAGATGGCTTTCATTGTACCCCCATTAAAAATCATACCAAGGGGTATAAATCTGCATATTATAGTAACCAGTAAACCAACACTGATGAAACTTTCCATGATAGTCAAATACAATGATGTGAATAATATCTGTAAAAAACAGGACAATTGGTTATTTATTTTCTTCAAAAATTTGGGCACAAGTTAAGAATTCTTTGGAAAAGTGCCACGTCCCCTTTCTAAATTAATTTGCATTGCCATATAATCATGTGCAATATATTTCACTGTGTGGATAAGATAAAACAGCACTTGATTTAATATTATCAAACATACTCTGAATAAGTTTTCTAAAATGTTTTTATGATGTTTCTTTCCAATTTCATTAAAATAATATGTGTTTTGTCTCATGGGGTGTCTTACATTTTGACGAAATTGTGTACATTTTGACATATGATCTCCGTTTCCATAGCAACCAGTTGACTAACTTCGATGAAACTTATTACTTTTGTAGGACATGATAAGTACATGATTACCTGTAAATATCAAAATGATTGGTTGCAAATTCTAGGAATTTTACATGGCCTTCCTAGTACCCCCCTCAAAATCAAACAAGGGGGGTATAAATCTGAATATTTCCAAAACGCTGAAAAACTAGACACCAGTATTTTCAGAATCAATGTAGAATCATAAACCACAAATTACCTACATAAAGAGAACTTTGCTATTTTTCAAAACCGCTTTTACACCACGCTCATCCAGTATTAAGACATGATATGAAATGTGAAAGTATTTGTAGTGTCAAATAAAATGACTTTTTGGCAGTCCAAAAAAGCAACTCCACTGAGTAGCAAATCCCACCAAACAAAATATGTCTTGATAAAAAACGACCAAAATTTCTTCTTGAACATTTCTTAGGTATCAACATATAAAATCTGAACCATATCTGTCCACTGGTATTTGTGTTATCAAAGATTACTATTTTTTAGAAAAACGGCCATTTTGAAATTTTTGAGTTATCAAAGATTACGTTATTTTATTAAAAATGGTGACCATTTTGAAATTCTGCGTCTTAAGAGTGTCTTCTTGAGCAGAGCTCATTAATGTCTCTATCAGGATATAAAATTTGAAACAAATCAGTCCACTGGTATTTGAGTTGTCAAAGGTTACATTTTTTACAATTCAGACACCATCTTAAAAATCTCTTCTTCAGCAAAGCTCATTTGTCCCTATGTATCAGCATATAAAATCTGAACCAAATCTGCCCACTGGTATTTGAATTATCAAAAATTATGTTTTTTACAAAAAATGGTGCCCATTTTAAAATTCAATAACCATGTTGAAAATGCCTTCCTGAGCAGAGCTTCTTTGTCTTTAGGCATCAGCATACAGTGTATAAAATTTGAACCAAATCCGTCCACTGGTATTGTATAAAATCTGAACCAAATCTGCCCACTGGTATTTGAATTATCAAAAATTATGTTTTTTACAAAAAATGGTGCCCATTTTAAAATTCAATAACCATGTTGAAAATGCCTTCCTGAGCAGAGCTTCTTTGTCTTTAGGCATCAGCATACAGTGTATAAAATTTGAACCAAATCCGTCCACTGGTATTGGAGTTATCAAATATTACACATTTGATTGAAAACTGGCTGCCATTTTAAAATTTAGTAGCCATCTTGAAAATCCCTTCTTCAGCAAAGCTCTTTTGTCCCTAGGCATCAACATATAATATTTGAACCAAATCCGTTAACTATCAAAATATTTTGTTTAAACTTGAAGATCCAGTCAATCTTTAACTAAGCTCAGATCAAAGATAATTCTGTTACTGTACATGTATTTTATCCCAGTGCTGAATTCCAAAAGTAAGCACATTTTAGACCTGATCCATGGCTTGAGGAGTAGAACTCATGTTAACAAACAACTAAATCTTATATTATCATCCATAGACTCTAATTTCGTTCCTGGAAAATTAGGTCGATTACAATTAAATAAATTGATATTATCATCTAAAAAAAATTTATGGAAATCATTTTTTTTACTTTTCAGTTTTCTTAGATCAATTTTTATACACATCAAAAGAATCACAATTACTCCCCAGATGCAAGTAGGTAGTTACCAGTTTCGCCACCAGGTGGCTGATTCTTTTCAAAACCACATTTCTAGATGTAATTTTACATGTAGATTCCAAATATGACATCAGGTTGACTAAATTGTGAATTTTAATAACGTGAATCAAGATTATTTCTACTTGCATCTAGGATATTGAATTGAACATTTTTGAAATTGTCAATGCTACAATATATGACAAGCATTTGGTAGATATATATTTCACACATTGCAGCTATCAAAAAAGAAAACCACCATCAGCCAATTACAAGATTACATCAAAACATTAAAAGAACGATATCCAGATATCACACTTCATCTTGAACAACTCAATGGTGAAGAACTTGAGATTACAAAGTGGTTAAAGGAGATTGATACTATAAACAAAAACAAGATCAAAGGGGAGGTATCTGAAGAGAAGTGGCGGAGCAATCGAGAGAAGCATGTAAAGCTGCTAAGAAGAGTTGGTAACATACATCAGGCTATTGGTGAAAAGAAAAGAAGCCTATTTGAATATGTTAATGCTATTAGCATCTATGAAACTGGAATAGTACAATGTGGAAATGAAGTCCCTGAATTAGATCAGTATGTTAAGGACAAGAAGGCTGCCCTAGATCTTTTCTTTAAACAATGTATTGGGACAGAGTCACCAAATAATTACTTCATGGATGAAGATACAAATAAAGAGAAACTTAACGATATCAGGAGTGATTTAAGAAACAGAATACTAGACTTGGATACAAATGAAGCATGTTACTGTTATAAAGCAGGGATCACTCACAAAGAAAGAATGGATCGTGAAGGAGAACGAGTCAAACAAAATGGAGAAATATTCAAGTGGATCCTGAATGAAATGAGAAAATTTGTTTCAACCCTGGTTGAACAAAGTATAGCCCTACTTAATTTTCATGAAACAGACTTTGCATTAATTGCATTTGGATCATTTTCAAGAACAGAGACAACACCCTTTTCTGATTTAGAGTTTGCGGTAGTACAGAACTCAGATAAATTAGAAATGGAACCTGAATACAGGGAAAGCATAGAGAAGTTGGTCATGATCCTTCATCTCAAGTTCCTATCATTTGGTGAAACAGTCCTACCAGCAATGGCCATACCTTCACTAAATGATACTGACCAAAATGATATAACAAAAGACTGGTATCTAGATTTACGAAGATTTGTCAGCATTAAACAAGGAATCTCATTTGATGGACTTATGCCACATGCAAACAAGACACCATACTTTGTTTCTCCTCAGTATCAAAGTTTTCAACTGACCAATACAAAGGCTGCATTCATCGCTAACTACAGCAATATGAAGGAAAATGAACTGAAACAGGTGCTATACTTCTTTAAAGGAGACTTCACCACAATCTTTGGAGATGAATCTATTGAGGTTGAAATGAAGGAGTGTTTTAAGAAGAATTCCGAGCAGAGACAAACAATATTGAAGCTTATTAAAAGTGAGCTCAAAGAGGATTTAGTTAAACATTCCTGCATCAAAAAAATATACGATAGCAAATACAAAAAGGAACTGATAAAGAAAGAATCACTTCATGTGAAGAAAGAGCTGTACCGTTTGCCCAGTGTTGTTGTAAACAACCTACTTCATCTGCTCAACAGTAATGCAAATTCGATATGGGATGTTCATGATCTTGAAGGATTAGAAAATGACAACATACATCACTTGAAGATGGCACTATCCAATGCAGCTGAGGTTAGACTGAGATGTTATGCAGGAAACAATGGCCAAGTTGATGAGCACCAAGGAAAACTATTGCCAGATTTTCTTGTATCTGATAACATTGGTCCTGATACCTTCAGTGAAGACCTCATAATGCGTTACTTTTACACCGCTATACCACTTGCGCATGCTATTGAAGGTGAAAATTCGGCTGAGGCTGCACTCGAGAAATTTGGAAAAATATCTCTCTATGATCCATCAGTCCTGAACACTACAATTGCCTACCTACTGATGCGAAATACAGACAAGGCAAAGGAATGCCTACAAGAAGCCAATAAAACATTTAAGACTGAAGATCCAACACAGCTAATAATGCATATTCTATGCAATATCTACATTGATGATGACAATATCAGTAAGCCTTTTCTAGACAAATTGGCAATTACTGTTCTTGATACTAAGGACATAGATTCCATGAACGCATATGGCAATGCTCTCTTACAAAAGGGGCACATTGATAAGGCTATTGAAGTTCTTGAGAAAAGTGTAGAGAAATCTGTCAATGATAGGCGAAAAGTGACATCAATGACACTCTTGATGACAGCTTACAAGAAAGGGAACAGGACAACAGAATATGAAACTCTCATGAGGGAACACCCAGAAATGGAGGAGGTAAGGAACATCATTAAAGCAAATTATTCTTTCATTAATCTTCAAAATGACATCTTAGTTTTATCACAGATTTACATATACCTTTCATCTCTTACAGACACTTCTTCAATTTTTCTTTAGATTTAAGTTGAGATGTTCTCCTTTTTAGATAAACAAACTCATATATGAGCTTGATGAAACAAAACAATTGCTGAAAAGTGAAAATCAAAAGGTAGGATAATATATCTATATAGTTTTACTGTCATAGTAGTCAGTTGTGTTGTTAATTAGTCAATATATATGTATAATGTACATGTATAATAAGGTCATGCACATTCTGGATAAGATAAACATATAAAGTTCTATTTTAATGTACATGTAATCCATAAACAATTCAAAATATCTGAAAAACAGACAAACATTTATCTACACATTAACAAATGTTGAGATAAAACTTATTTGAACTTATTTGACAAAAACAGCTGATAAGCTCAATTTCCAACAAATATTTCTTACATTTTGAATCACCAATTCTCGTGATGTCTATCTTCTAAAACATTTGGATATTTTGTAACTTGATATTATAACTTGATAAGTAAAAGTTGTGGTAGCTGGAAAATCTTTCCAATTTCCACATCAGAATATTCTTATTCAATTCCAGGTAGTAAAGATGACAAGTGACATACAAGACATTAACCAAGACCTGTTTCAATCAAGGCAAACTATAGATGAAGAAAAGAATAGAAGGCGTTTAGAGGTACTGAATTCAATGTTAGTTAAGACTTTATTACAATTTTTTGTTTTATTATTCACCATTTGATCGATCATTTTGAAATTTTCAGGGATGCTGAAAGACTACAACTTATATGGGCATCTGTGATTTTGGGCATGATGCATAATCTCTTTGGTGTCCAGTTTTGATTTTCATCCTGAAATCTTGTCTCTTCAACTGATGAGTGTTAGGGATTCAGGATGAAAACATCTTTATAAGATCACCCATTATATTAAGATCAACAGGATATTCAAGATATTTTCATTTTCAACATTCTATTGTAGGCTTATGAGCATTCATTAAAAATACAATCTGTGGAGATTGAACTGGCAAAGTCTCACAATGATATGGAAGAAATGAGAACACTACATGCAATCAAGGTATTTATAAGAAATCTAAAGAAATAGAAAACACTGAACAAAACATGAAAAACATCAAACCACTCACCATTTTCAAGATTTCACTAAAGAAAAATTATTGGGAATGTGACATTTTCTCCTTTTGGTAGAGTTTATACCTTTGATATAGTGACAGGACGACATATGAATATTAATATTAAGGAGAGGTTCTATGCCTATAAATGTTGAGCCAAATTTAAAAAACTGGTACTTGGGTCATCAACTCAAGGAGGATTGGAAGCCAGGGTTCCAACTCGATATTCTTTAATCTCCACGCATGCGTCATTTGCTATTCGTGTCTGTATAATTTGTACGACTGCATGGAGAATGACCCGATACTCTCCAACAAAGCTATCGCTTGGTGATTGTTTTGCAGAATATCGGTGTTGCATTCTGGGAGCCAATCCTCCTTGGTCATCAACTATTACATTTTGTAATCAGACAATGGTATTATGATGGTATCAGACAATTTTGACTCGGAATGCCTTGGAATGATTTTTGAAAAAAAAGATTTTCCCCGATGCTTTCTTTATCAAGATCATTCCAATGCTATTCTAGCAATATTTGTTAAAAACCATAAAATACGATAGGATTTAACGAAAATCTAATAAAAGATTTATTTAGTTTCCGATCCAATTTCGAACTTTTGAAGCCTCCCCTTACAGGACATAATATTGATAATTCCTTCTTAAGGCATCAAGGCATCAGCCAATAAATTTTGAATCAAATCTGGTATTTGAGCTTATTATCTGTAATTTATAATACTTTTGAAAAAATCTTTTTTATTCAGCAGCCATCTAAATGATTCATTCTTAAGCAATGTCCTATTCTGATAAAGCATCAACACATAAAAATATTAGCCTGATAACTGGTATTTGAGTTATTAAGAATCACAACTATATTTTCACAAAAAATGGTTACCACTTTGAATTGAGTCATTCTTCTTATATTTTGGACAAAATCTAATAACTGGTATTTCATTTTATTGAAGCTTTCAAAATCCCACAAGAGGCCAATCATAGAAAATTTCTTCTGAACAAGAATCCTTTTTCGTAAGACATCAGCCTGTATTGAATCTAATGCAAATCTAAAAACCACAATATGAGAAATCAAGAATTACATTTTTTAATTTGAATAAATATCATATTTCCTTAGTCATTAACTTGAATCTATGCTGACAACAAGTATTTAAGTTATCAAAAAATTCATATATATCCATACTTAAAGTTTGTTCAGGATGAAAAGCATTTTTGTGAAATACAACAAATATTTTTATTCTTATACATTTTTGTAGACTGCAGAACTACAATCCATGGAGAATGTTTTATCATTCCAATACTTTCTTGTAGGCTGCTGAACATTCATCAAAAGTACAATCCATGGAGAGTGAACTGGCAAAGTCACAAGACGATATGGAGAAAATGAGAAAACAACGTGCAACAGAGGTATTATACAAAAAATTTTTATTACCATCATTCTTCAATTAAACTCACAATCTTTTAAAGATATTTTCATTCGAATACCTTCTTGTAGGCTGCTGAATATTCATCAAAAGTACAATCAATGGAGAATGAACTGGCAAAGTCTTATGATGATATGGAGAAAATGAGAAAACAACATGCAACAGAGGTATTATATGATAAACTTCATTAGTGTCATTCTTCGATTTAAACTCACAAGTTTTTAAAGATATTTTCATTCCAATGGTTTCTTGTAGACTGCTGATCATTCATCAAAAGTACAATCAATGGAGAGTGAACTGGCAAAGTCACAAGACGATATGGAGAAAATGAGAAAAGAACATGCGACAGAGGAATTATACAATAAACTTTATTACTGTCATTCTTTAATTAAACTCACAAGTTTTGAAAGTTATTTTCATTCCAATGGTTTCTTGTAGACTGCTGAACATTCATCAAAAGTACAATCAATGGAGAATGAACTGGCAAAGTCACAAGACGATATGGAGAAAATGAGAAAACAACATGCAACAGAGGTATTATATATTAAACTTTTTACTGTCATTCTTCAATTAAACTCACAAGTTTTGAAAGATATTTTCATTCCAATGGTTTCTTGTAGACTGCTGAACATTCATCAAAAGTACAATCAATGGAGAATGAACTGGCAAAGTCACAAGACGATATGGACAAAATGAGAAAACAACATGCAACAGAGGTATTATATAATAAACTTTATTACTGTCATTCTTCAATTAAATTCACAAGTTTTTAAAGATATTTTCATTCCAATGGTTTCTTGTAGACTGCTGAACATTCATCAAAAGTGCAATCCATGGAGAATGAACTGGCAAAGTCACAAGACGATATGGAAAAAATGAGAAAACAACATGCAACAGAGGTATTATATAATAAACGTTATTACTGTCATTCTTTATTTAAACTCACAAGTTTTTAAAGGTATTTTCATTCCAATAATGCTTCCTTGTAGGCTGCTGAACATTCATCAAAAGTACAATCCATGGAGACTGAACTAGCAAAGTCACAAGATGATAAGGAAAAAATGAGAAAAGAACATGCGACAGAGGTACTATACAATAAACTTCATTACTGTCATTCTTCAATTAATCTCACAAGTTTTTGAAGATATTTTCATTCTAATAATGGTTTCTTGTAGGCTGCTGAATATTCATCAAAAGTACAATCCATGAAGAAAGATCTGGCGAAGTCTCATGACGATATGGAGAAAATGAGAAAGCAACATGTAACAGAGGCGAATTTATTCAAGAAATGTTAATTTATAATATCATTCATCTAATAAAATCACCATCTATTCAAGATATTTTCATTCGAATACCTTCTTGTAGGCGGCTGAATATTCATCAAAAGTACAATCCATGGAGAATGAACTGGCAAAGTCACATGATGACATGGAGAAAATGAGAAAACAACATGCAACAGAGGTGAATATATTCAAGAAATATTAATCTATACCATCATTCATCTAATAAAACTAGAAAAACAGAAACTCCACGGAGTAGGAAATCCCACCAAACAAAACATATTATGCTTATTATAGCTAGTGTAAATGTTGAAATGTTTGTGCGCTTTGTGATAGAAGCATGAAATTTGGCACAAAGTTAGTTTATACCTTTGTGAACTAGGCATCATCATATAAAATTTGAACCAAATCCGTTCAGTGGTATATGAGTTATCAAAGATTAGGTTTTTTACGAATATGGGCCGCCATCTTGAAATTCAGCCACCATCTTGAAAATTATTTCTTGAACAGAGCTACTGTGTCCCTAGGCATAATCATATAAAATTTCAACCAAATCTGTTCACTGGTATTTGAGTTATCAAAGATTACGTTTTTTACGAAAAATTGCCGCCATTTTGAAATTAAGCGGCCATCTTGAAAATCTCTTTTTGTGCGAAACTCCTTTGTCCCTAGGCATCAGCATATAAAATTTGAACCAAATCCGTTCACTGGTATATGAGTTATCAAAGATTACGTTTTTTACGAATATGGGCCGCCAATTTGAAATTCAGCCGCCATCTTGAAAATTATTTCTTGAACAGAGCTACTGTGTCCCTAGGCATAATCATATAAAATTTCAACCAAATCTGTTCACTGGTATTTGAGTTATCAAAGATTACATTTTATATGAAAAATTGCCTCCATTTTGAAATTAAGCGGCCATCTTGAAAATCTCTTTTTGTGCGAAACTCCTTTGTCCCTAGGCATCAGCATATAAAATTTGAACCAAATCCGTTCACTGGTATGAGTTATCAAAGATTACGTTTTTTACGAATATGGGCCGCCATCTTGAAATTCAGCCGCCATCTTGAAAATTATTTCTTGAACAGAGCTAATGTGTCCCTAAGCATAATCATATAAAATTTCAACCAAATCTGTTCACTGGTATTTGAGTTATCAACGATTACGTTTTTTACGAAAAATTGGCGCCATTTTGAAATTAAGCAGCCATCCTGAAAATCTCTTTTTGTGCGAAACTCCTTTGTCCCTAGGCATCAGCATATAAAATTTGAACCAAATCCGTCAACTTGTATTTGAATTATCAACCATTACATTTTTTACGAAAAATGGTGGCCATTTTGAATTGAGCAGCCATATTGAAAATTCCTTCTCGAGCAGAGGTCCTACACTCATAAGGCATAAGCCTATAAAATTTGAACCAAATCGGTCAACCGGTATTGGAGTTATTGCCCGGATACACGGACCAACGAAAGGACGGACAGGCGGATGGCTTCTCTATATCCCCCTCGAACTTCGTTTGGTGGGATAATCACCATCTATTCAAGATATTTTCATTCCAATACTTTCTTATAGGCTGCTGAATATTCATCAAATGTAAAATCCATGGAGAATGAACTGGCAAAGTCTCATGACGATATGGAGAAAATGAGAAAACAACATGCAACAGAGGTATTATACAAGAAATATTTATTAGTACCACTCTTCAATTAAACTTACAAGTTTTTAAAGATATTTTCATTCCAATACTTTCTTGTAGGCTGCTGAATATTCATCAAATGTACAATCCATGGAGAGTGAACTGGCAAAGTCACAAGACGATATGGAGAAAATGAGAAAACAACATGCAACAGAGGTATTTTACAAGAAATTTTTATTAGTACCATTCTTCAAATAACTCACAAGTTTTTAAAGATATTTTCATTCCAATTTCCATTTCTTGTAGATTGCTGAACATTCATTAAAAGTACAATCCATGGAGAGTAAACTCACAAGATGATATCGAGAAAATGAGACATGCGACATAGAAATGTTTATGGCTACCATTCTTCTATTAAAATCACCAGATATTTAAGATACCTATGTTTTTATTCTAATATTTTATTCTAGGCTCATCAACTTTCATCAAAAGCACAATCCTTAGAGAAAGAACTGGTAAAGTCACATGACAATATGGAGAAAATGAGAGAACAGCATGCAACAGAGGTATTTAAAAAACTCAAAACCATCATTCTCCTATTGAAAAAGCTTTACTCTGTATATTAAAATCAACAGGATATTGAACATATATTAATTTTTGACATTTCATAGTTGGCTAAAGAAAGTACATCAGAGGATTTGAAAAAATTAGAATTATCATAATTCTATCAAAATCAATAGATAATTAATTACATGTACATGTATAATATGTTTCATTCCAATATGAGAAATTGAGCAAATAGAAAGTCCATTTATTATTTCAAAAATAAGAGCTTGAATCCATGATCATTAAGAATAATACTTTTTGAGTTAAACAATATTGTGAACAACTTAAAGTGAGACCTGGTGATAGGAAACCACAATCAAGACCCCCTTTTTTGGATGTCTAGTCGTCACATATCTACTTACAAACAAAGAGGCCCAAAATCCACCACTTTATGTGCTAATTTTTTTTTGATTGTGCTGACTGGTCAAATTATTTTTGTCAAAATTAATTATCTGGGACTTAAATAAACTGGGGAAATTCATACATTGTCTAATCATTAAATTTGTTTATCAGTATGGTTACGTGACTAAAGGAACTCCATAATGGCAGTTCCAGATTTTCTAAAAGGTTGAAACTGTTGCTTTGACTCTGATTGGCTGAAGGCAAGTGCCGAGTTTGCTGATGCTAGTGTGTAACCTGCGTGCAGAGTCTAGTTAAGACGAAGCTCTCTTTTAAGAAGTGAAGTCGAACGAATGCAAAGGGTAGCTAGTGTGCTGGTGTCATTTGAAAGAGTTTTCCCTCCATTGCCGCGATTAAACTCAATTGTGTTAAATTCTGATAGTTGGTTGTTCTGTTGATTTCTCAATATATTGGCAATACTATGTCCATAACTTGGTCTCAAGATAATCTAAGGCAGATATTATAATTGTATAAGCAATTATAATGGGATATCACTGATTGTCTGGAAAGAAACCTAGGGGATAGTCTGGCTTTAGAAATCTGACCTAAAAGCACTTAGGGAAGAGTTGTTGAAAGCCAATGAAAACCAAAACAACTAAAAGAGCACTCTACAAAAGAGGTAAAACTAGAAAAATAGCAATCCAAGGAGAAGCATTTTTAATGCACAAAATTTGTTACTCTTTTCCTGAATTATGGAGCATATCTCAAAATTAATGCTTATGTAGTAAATCCCAATGCACAAGTTTACTCTTACCCTTTTAATTATAATACAAATTTCAAAATTAATGACAATTCAAGCCGATTATATTTTCAACTAATGTCGGGTATTAGAGAGTTTAAGCTTGTATATGAAATCGAAATGGAAATGTATAACTTATCAATCACCTATATACATTGCATGTAGTTTTTGTGTTTAATTAAATAACTGTCTAAAGTCTGTTACACTGCTTCAAAGGCAAGTAGTTAAACCTGAAATATAAGAAATCTAAATAACATTGTGTAATAATATATAGAAAAATATATTCATATTGCACACGAATGACATTTGTATATGTTGGATTGCTTGTAAATTGGCTCATAAAGTCTGTAATCTCTTATATTTTGATGCTTCTCTACCATGTTAATTTTCAAAATAATAACATGGCGGACAGCTCTCAAATTACAAGAGGGCACAGGCTTATTGCACTAAACACTAAATAATCTTAAATATATAAATGTCATTCGTGTGCAATATATTTTTCTATATATTATGGCACAATGGTCTATAGATTTCTTATTTTTCACGTTCAACTGCTTGCCTTTGAAGCAGTGTAACAGACTGTAGTGTTGTACTTAGATTACACCATAGTCTGATACCGCAGCATTTAGTTGGTCATTGACAGTTTTATAGCTGGCTTTCTAATACATATTTTAAACCGCTTACGGACAACTCATCCCCTAGACAACTCATCCCCTGGACATCTCATCTCCTGGACAAGTCATCCCCTGGACAAGTCATTCCCTAGACAAGTCATCCCTTAGACAACTCATCCTTCATCACAAGAAGCTAAATTGTAAAGTGTTTCTTGAAAAGAAATAATTAGTAAATACATCTTGGACCATTCAAAATATTATTTTTCACTTTATTGAGACAAATAAACAGTCAAACGATGCCATTAAAACTCTCGTCTCTTATTCTTACATTACATGACTCAATATTTCCTGACCAAACAAATAAAGTTCTCTTTTGCATAACTTAAAAATGAATTTCAGTAATTTCATCTGTGAATGCTGTGAAAAAATAATCTTTGGATTTAAGAATATTTGAGCTATCAACAACAAACATATTATAACATCAAAGGAACTTCTTCAATCAGTGTTAATATCATATCCAAATTAATATTTAATATTTACAAAACAAATCACAGATTAATTGGTTGATTATCTCTTTGATAATACTAGAAAAACAGCAACTCCACGGAGTAGCAAATCCCACCGAACAAAACATGTTTTGGTAAATAGCGGCCATATAAAATTTGAGCCAAATCCATCCACTGGTATTTGAATTATCAAAGATAGTGTTTTTATGATACATGGTTGCCATTTTGAAATTCAGCTGTCATCTTTAGATTTCTTCTTTAGCAGAGC